TACTCTCCTCTTTGATCTCCTGTTGAGTTCGTAGGTGTTCAGAATGGTTTGATCCTTATTCAGCTGAATTCCTGAGACCAGACGAAATCTAGGTCTCCCACTCCTCCGCCATCTTGCTCCGCCCCCTAATCTAATGTTTCTACCATTGTAGATTACAGATCTCTTCTCCCGAGCTGCTTTCAAGATTTTCTCTTTGTCTCTGAGATTCATATGTTTTACTATTCGATGTTGGGGTGTTGACCTATTTTTCCTGATTTTGAGGGGGTTTCTTTGTGCCTCCTGGATTTTGATGCCTGTTTCTTTCCCCAAATTAGGGAAGTTCTCTGCAATAATTTGCTCCAATTATAGCCCCCCCTTCTTCTGGGATCCCAATTCTAATGTTGTTTCATCTTATGGTATTGCCTATCTCTCGAATTCTGGCCTCGTGATCCAGTAGTTGTTTATCTCTCTTTTTCTCAGCTTCTTTATTTTCCATCATTTGGTCTTCTATATCACTAATTCTCTCTTCTGCCTCATTTATGCTAGCAGTTAGAGCCTCCATTTTTTTATTGCACCTCATTAATAGCCATTTTGATTTTGACTTGGTTAGATTTTAGTTCTCTTATTTCTCCAGAAAGGGTTTCCCTAATATCTTCCATGCTTTTTTGAAGCCCAGCTAGTATCTTTAAAATCATCATTCTGAACTCTAGTTCTTTTTTTTTTACAGTCATTTTAAAAAATTTTTTATTGTTATGTTAATCACCATATATTACATCATTTGTTTTGGTGTAGTGTTCCATGATTCATTGTTTGTTCATAACACCCAGTGCTCCATGCAGAATGTGCCCTCTTTAATACCCATCACCAGGCTAACCCATCCCCCTACCCTCCTCCCCTCTAGAAACCTCAGTTTGTTTTTCAGAGTCCATCATCTCTCCTGGTTCGTCTCCCCCTCTGACTTACTCCCCTTCATTCTTCCTCTCCTGCTATCTTCTTCTTTTTCTTTTTTCTTAAAATATGTTGCGTTATTTGTTTCAGAAGTACAGATCTGTGATTCAACAGTCTTGCACAATTCACAGCGCTCACCGTAGCACATACCCTCCCCAATGTCTATCACCCAGCCACCCCATCCCTCCCACCCCCACCACTCCAGCAATCCTCAGTTTGTTTCTGAGATTAAGAATTCCTCATATCAGTGAGGTCATATGATACATGTCTTTCTCTGATTGACTTATTTCACTAAGCATAACACCCTCCAGTTCCAGCCACGTCGTTGCAAATGGCAAGATCTCATTCCTTTTGATGGCTGCCTAATATTCCATTGTGTATATATACCACATCTTCTTGATCCATTCATCTGTCGATGGACATCTTGGCTCTTTCCACAGTTTGGCTATTGTGGACATTGCTGCTATAAACATTGGGGTGCACGTACCCATTCGGGTCCCTACATTTGTATCTTTGGGGTAAATACCCAGTAGTGCAATTGCTGGATCGAACGGTAGCTCTAATTTCAACTGTTTAAAGAACCTCCATACTGTTTTCCTGAGGTGTTGCACCAGCTTGCATTCCCACCAACAGTGTAGGAGGGTTCCCCTTTCTCCACATCCCCGCCAACATCTGTCAGTCATTCCCTGACTTGTTAATTTTAGCCATTCTGACGGGTGTGAGGTGGTATCTCATGGAGGTTTTGATTTGGATTTCCCTGATGCCGAGCGATGTTGAGCACTTTTTCATGTGCCTGTTGGCCATTTGGATGTCTTCTTTGGAAAAATGTCTGTTCATGTCTTCTGCCCATTTCTTGATTGGATTATTTGTTCTTTGGGTGTTGAGTTTGATAAGTTCTTTATAGATTTTGGATACTAGCCCTTTATCTGATATGTCATTTGCAAATATTTTCTCCCATTCTGTCGGTTGTCTTTTGGTTTTGTGGACTCTTTCTGAACTCTAGTTCTGACATCTTACTAATGTCCATATTGATTAGGTCCCTGACAGTCAGTACTGCTTCTTGTTCTTTTTGTTGAGGTGATTTTTTTCTGTCTTGTCATTTTGTCCAGAGAAGAATAGGTATATGAGAGAACAAAATGCTAACAGGGTAACAACAGTCCCAGAAAATATACACTGAACAAATCAGAAAAGACCTGAAACTGGGAGAAAAGAAAGGGAAAGAAAGAGAAAAGAAAAAAGAAATGAAAAAGATAACAAATAAACAAAAACATACAAAAAATATGAGCGAATATGATCAGGCTGGTGCATAGATCAGTGCCACACACTAGATTTTTGGCGTATTTTGGTCTATTAGAAGAAAGTGTCTCCCAAAATTTTAAAGAAAGAAAAACTTATGTATGTACAGAAAATAAGGGTTAATACGATGAAGGGATGGAATATATCTGTAAAGATGAAAATTATAAAAGATTGTATAAAAGATACTGATAAGATAAGTTGGTTGAAAAAAGAGAGAAGAGGATTTAAAGAAAAAGCGGGGGAGAGAATATGATCAGGCAGGAGACTAGAACAAAGCCATACACTAGGGATTTAAGGTATATTTTGATCTGGTAGAAGAAACTGGGTCCACAATTTTAAAGAGAGAACAATCTATATCTATATCTATCTATCTATCTGTCTATCTATACCAAAAATAAAGTAACTACTATGAAGGGATAGAATATGACTCTAAAATTGAAAAATAAAAAATATCTTTTAAAAAAGGGATTGATAAGATGTTGGTTGAAACAGGAAAAAGAAAAATTCAAAAAAATGTTTAAAAATGTTAACTTTGAAAGACTAAAGAACCATGGGGAAAAAAGCCATGAATTCTATGTGCAGCATTCCCCTAGCACTGGAGTTCTGCCATTCTCATTGATCGGTAAACTTGGTCTTGGCTGGCTGTTCTTGCTGATCTTCCGGGGGAGGGGCCTGTTGCCGTGGTTCCCAAATGTCTTTTCCAGAGGCGCAATTGCCCCGCCTTGCTGGGGTTCGGGCTAAGTAATCTGCTGGGGTTTGCTCTCAGAAGCTTTTGTTCCCTGCAAGCTTTCCATAAAAATTTGGAGAATGAGAGTGAAAATGGCGGCCTCCTAATCTCTGCGCTGCAGGAGCTGAGAGCTCAGGGCCCCACTCCTCAGTGAGCTCCCAGAGAAAAGCAATCACTCCCATCTCCCTGGTCTCCGGCCGAACTCCATGCTCACCTGGCTGTGACCGAGTGTTTCCTTTTTTATTGACCGAGCATTTCTGTCTCTTGCACATGACCCCGTGTGGTGTCTCCAAACCCAGCAGATCCCTGTGGTGCGCTCCCACGCTGCTCCTCCTGGGGGAGGAAGGGGAGTATCCCCAGATCTGCTGCTTATCGGGTCCCTGCTGGAAGAGCAGTGGCCCGACTGTGCCCCAGATCATGGTTTATGGCAACCCTGGGCTGAGAGTCCACTCCTCGGCTCCATCTCTGCAGCCGGCTTCCCTGCTCCGATACCTGGGAGCTCTGTTGCACTCAGGCACCTCTGGTCTTTCTGTGACACCAAGGATCCTCAGACCACACTGTCCCCACGAGTGTTCCACCCCCCCCTTGCCCCTGGAGTGACGTCCCTCAGTGGAGCCCACCTCTAAAAGTTCCAATTTTGTGCTCTGTGGCTTTATCACTTGCCAGAAGCGGCCAACAGAGCCACCCTCCCCCGCTATCTATCCTCCCGGATATCACCTCGGATTCACTTCTCCACACGTCCTACCTTCCAGAAAGTGGTCGCTTTTCTGTTCAGAGATTTGTTGCTATTCTTAACCAACTGAGTCACCCAGGCGCCCTGATTTGTTGCCGTTCTTTTCTTCGATCTCCTGTTGAGTTCATAGGTGTTTAGAATAGTTTGATCCCTATCCAGCTGAATTCCTGGGACCAAATGAAACTTAGGTCTCCTACTCCGCCGCCATCTTGCTTAGGTCCCATCTGTGCTATTTCTGACGAGAGTTCACCTCGTGGATGCTTAAATATGTCTGTAAGTGGGAAGCTCACTATTAAAAGAAGGGCACCCTTTGTTTAGAGATGTTTTCTATGATACCAAGAGGAAAACCACTTACCTGTACCTTCCAGCTGTGGGTCATTCTCCTGTCCTTTGAGATTCCCAAATTAGTCTACATTCATATCCCAAGGACTTCTCCTAATGTTTCATGGTAATGCACAGTGCAACACACTGTATACTTGCACAGGCCTCTAATGGATGTTGCCTGTTTATTCCTCCTGTTTTGTGAATTGACAGAGGAATATGAAAACTTTTGCCCTTATCTCTCTCCTGATTATTTTCCCCCCAGGACATTCTATTCCATATATCCCCTATGGCTCAGAAACCTCCAGATGGAGAGGTAACTCCATAGTGCCACAGTGACCTGGCATCCCCCTGTATTAGTAGGCCAGGCTTCCTCGACTCTGGTGCTATTGACATTTTGGGCTAGATAGTTCTTTGTGGTGGTGGGCTGTCCTGGGGACTGTAGGATGTTTGACAGTATCTGTGGCTTCTACCCACTAGATCACCCCCTACCCCCAGCCCAGGCATGACAACCAAAGATGTCTCTAGACATTGCTCAATGTCCCCTGGCAGGGGGTAGAGGGGGCACACTGCCCTCAGTTGAGAATCACTAGCTTAACGCTAATAGAAATTTCTTACTCTCATTACCATCCAATATAGACATACCTGGCCAATGGGCAGCTTTTCTCCACATGGTGATATAGGGATCCATTTCCTTGTATCTGTTGGTTCTCATATCCCTTATGGCTTTGGAATCCCTGATTCAGCCAGTGGTGGGGAAAGAGAGAGAAGGCACACCCACTTGGCAAACACCTTGGCCCAGAAGAGACAGATGTCGTACCTGCTCACATTCTATAAGTGAAAATTAGTCACATGGTCCCACCTACATGCAGAGGGTCTGGGAAATGTTGTCCCTGCTTGGGCTACCCCTTTTTAGGGGTAACTCTATGCGTTGGAAGCATGACTTTTGTAGGATTGCTAGCCAACTTTGCCTCATGCCCATTCTCTACCCTATAGATATTGATGAGTGCCTTCACATGTGCCCTTCTAATGCAACATGCACCAACACTCCTGGGAGCTACTTTTGCACCTGCTCTCCTGGCTTTGTACCAAGCAATGGACAGCCAAGCTTCACAGACCAAGAAGTCGAATGTAGAGGTGAGAAGAGAGTTTGCTGAACATCCCTGGAAAGAAGTATCTCCTGGTTCTTCTGCGTTGTTTGATATTCTCAAGTTCTTTGCAGATATTGATGAGTGTTCCCAAGATCCATCACCTTGTGGCCCCAATTCTGTCTGCACCAATGCCCTGGGCTCCTACAGCTGTAGCTGCCTTGGAGGCTTTCAACCCAATCCAGAAGGCTCCTTGAACTTCAGCTGCAAAAGTAATCATTTCTTTGTGTCTCTGGGCAATGGAATCTGTGTCTTGGTTTGGTTGTGATATCTTCAATCTACTCAAACTCAGGATCTTCCTCTTAACTTTACCTCATCTACAATTCTCTCTTTTCTAATGTATTCATTCACTCATTGATTAATTCACTCATTCAATTAATTATTCTTGGAACATCTATTAGTCAAACAGGCCCCTGCACTAGGCAGTGATGATTCAATCCTGGATGTGATGGACATGATATTTGCCTTCATGTAGTTCATGGTCTAGGAAGGGAAGTAGAAAGCACATACATAATTATTTAATAAGCACAATGAGTGTGACTCCTGAAAAATCATAATGTGCTTCAGAGTGAGTAATGAGATATTTAATATACTCTGGGCAAGTGACATTTAAGTTGAAGCTTGAAGGAAGAGTAGGAATTATCCACATGAAGAGTGGAGATCTCAGTGTGCTGGGTTGTGGCATGTGCAAAGACCCTAAGGCTAACACAGAGTGAGGACCAGGGGAAATGGCAGCAGGTGCACCTGAGGACATGGGCAGAGGTCAGATCTTGCAGGAAATGGTGAGCCATGTGAGGAATTTTGGAGATGGTTTTTTATCCCCCCAAGAACAAGAGGGAACTGTGAAAGGTTTAAATTTTTTAAAATTGTGGATACTTGGTACATTAAAAATAGAGGTAGCTTATATGGAGGCAATGAAGTATAATAATAAAATGAGTATGCCTGAGGCCCCTCACCAACATGAGAACTAGAATATCATCAATGCCCTTGTGTTTCCTGCATGTTCATTCCCCATTAGATCTCTCTTAGTCCTCCCCAGAGGGGACTACTGGGAACTTTGTGTTAATAATTCCCCTACTTAAAAAAATGCCCCCTATGTATGTATCCCTAAACAATACTTCACTTAGTTTTGTTTGCTTTGGAGCATTATAAAAATGGTATCATGCTCTGGATAGTCTTTTCTGACCAGATCGTTTCACTCAGTCTCCTGCTTCTCAAAGTCCCTGATGTTTCAGTGTGTAGCTATCATATAATCTGGTAATGGATGGATTTGAAGCAGGGGATAATAAAATCAGATTTGTCTTTCAGTCATAGTTTGCTGTGGTTGAGCTTTAATTTGGTTGCTTTTGTTTCCTTCCTAGGGATTCCCTTTAAGTGTAAAGAAGATGTGATACTCAACAATGAGTGGGTCCAGCTCTGCCAAGTGGGAGGAGCAGTGGAGCCTGAACATGTAAGTATTTTTAAGGTTTCTAGCTCTTGAGTTTCCTAGAAGAACTTCTAGAAGTTCCTAGAAGGTTCCTAAAAACCACTCAGGTAGGATGTCATTTTGCAGCTTTAACAAAGGCCAAAATAATGGTGACCTAAATTATATACCAGTTTATTTCTCTCCTTGTAAACATCTGAGTGTCAGCTGTGGAGAGTTGATATGATGGCTCTGTAAGTGCTCTGCCAGCATCAACACAAGCCTCCCACTTTGTGGTCCAAGATGGCTGCTCCAGCTCCTGCCATCATGTCTGCATTTCAACTGGTGGGAAATGGGGAGGGGGAAGTGAAAGGCATAGTTCTTCTCTAAACTCTGTTAAGAGTTTAACCCAGTATCACTTCTGTTTCCTGGCTTCAAGGAAAGCTGAGAAGGGAGGACATTTGTCTATTTAAAACTTGGGAATTCTTTCATGAACAGAGGAAAGGATGTTGGAGTCTAATTACCAGTGAGGGTGCTGGTGCTGTATCTGTGTGATGTGGGAGGGGTGATGCATAGCCCCTGGACCAGGCAAAGAGGAATTTGGATGTCCTGATTCTCTAATGAAGTTGTTCCAGCGACTAGAGCCTCCATGAGCATCTTCAGGAACTGATGTCACAATTTTCAATAGGAGCTTATAAATTAGCTTGGGAATTCCCATGCACTTTGGACCACTGCTGCTGTTGTTGTTGTTGTTTTTTAAATTGTGGTGATTTACAAAAACAATGAATCATGGATCACTACATCAAAACTAATGATGTACGGTGACTAACATAACTTAATAAAATTAAATTAAATTAAAAAAATAAAAATTGTGGTGAGATACACCTAAAACTTCACCATTCTAACACTTTATTTTTTATTTAAAAAAAACTTTTGATGTTCAGTTAGCCAGCATATAGTACATCATAAGTCTTTTTGCTGTGGTATTTAGTATACTCACCATGGTGTGCAACCATCACTTCTAGCCCTCAAACATTTTCATCCCCTCAAAAGAAACTGTATCCCCAACAACATTGCCCTCCAGTTCCCCCTGCCTCTGGCCCTTGGTAAACACTGATCTTCTCCCTGTGTCCATCAGTTGGTCTATTCTGCATATTTCATATAACTGTAATCATAGAGTACATGGTTTGTGTGTGTGTGTGTGTGTGTGTGGCTTCTCTCACGGAGCATGATGTTTTCAAGGTTCACCCACATTGTAGCAGGTGCCAATGCTTTACTCCTTTTGGTGGCTAAATAATATTCGATTTGGACCACTGAATTTTTTTTTCACACATTCCCCCATCTTTGACCCCACTAAGTAGTTTTGCTGTTTCTTTGTATTTGCTTCTTTTATTCATTGAAGAGAAAGGTGTTGTGACTCCAAGTCTGCTCAAATGGTGAGTTTCTATTTTCCTGAGAATTCTAGAGCCTCCTGACACCTTAGCTGTTTAGGATCACTCTTGTGGTAGACTGGATGGCCAATGTGTACTTTACATGCTGGGGGATCGACCAATCAGTGTTTCACTCATGCTCTTCCTCTGGGGCACAGGGTTCCTTCTGCACACTAATGAATGCCACCTTCAGTGTTCTGGACAATGCCTGTGGAAACAGAACTGCCATGGTTTCTCTGAAGGTAACAACAAAGTCTTTGTAACTGGGTTTCAAGCTTTGAACATCTTGGGGGGACACTTTGGGTACAGAAAGTCCTCTTATTATTAATGGGTTGAGTTAGCATTTATTACAGCTGCAAGTTTTTAAAATTTGACATACAGTAAAATTGCCCTTCTCTGTCCAGTTTTATGAGTTTTATTACCTAAGTAGATTTGTGTAACCACCACCACAATCAGAATATAGAGCCGTTCCTTTTCCTTCCCCAACTCTCCCTTGGGCTTTCCCTTTATCGTCAGATGCTCCCTCCACCACCAGACCCAGTAAATCTCTGTCATTAGAGTCTTGTCTTTTCAAGAATATTATATAAATGGAATCACACAGGATGTGGCTTCTTTCTTTCTTTCTTTCTTTCTTTCTTTCTTTCTTTCTTTCTTTC